ATGAGAAACTATCTGTTCTGTAAGCCTTCACCTGAAGTACAATAAAATATTAAAAAAAAAAAATTAAAATTCAAGCTAACTCACGCTTGAATCAAGACTGGGATAATGGAAAAGGAATGAATTTTTAAAAAAGGAACAATTTGGCTAAGCTGCTTGGATTAGAGATTTTGTTAAAAATTATTGTGGTCTTAAATCTTTGAGGTTGTTATCGTATTGTTGATTTTGTCCTTACATTCTATAATTTAAAAGCATCAAATAAGATGTCAGATGTGTAATATTCAGTGGACGAAACTGATAAGAAAGATGACATCTTTATCTAGTGGTTTTTAAAACTTCATCTGAGCAATAAAATTATTTTTTTTTCTATTGAAATTATATAAGGAGCCCTTTGGACATGTTATCAGGAGGGACCAGTCCCTAGAGAAGGACATCACGCTTGCTGAAGTAGAGGGTCAGTGGAAAAGAGGAAGACCCTTAACGAGATGGGTTGACACAGTGGCTGCAACAATGGGCTCAAACATGGCAATGACTGTGTAGACGGGACAGGACTTGGCAGTGTTTCATTCTGTTGTACGTAGGGTTGCTATGAGTCAGAACCTACTTCACAGCACCTAACAACAACATGTTAAGACAGAGGTCCCCAGTCTGCAGAAAATTCCACTGCCTCAAGCAGCTTGCTTGGCTTGCCCAGTAGCTTTACATTAAAATCCTGGTTTCCCACCCCTTAACTGCTCCAAACTAGAGGAAATTGGTGGAAACTGGTTTAGGCACCATGTTGACATTCAGGATAACCTTATAGACCTCATACATAGTAACCTCTTTGCCTCTGGACAGAGTTTAACTACCATTTTCTGAACATGCAGTGCATGAAGTTATATGTAAACCACATTGTGCCTGTAGTATGATTAAGAATGTTGCTGATGTTACTTGTATGAACTTCCTACTTGTAAACTCCTTAAAAGTAACCTACCCTCTTGCCCTCCCTGATCAGTTTTTCCAGCAGCAGCCCTGACTGTTCCTTTCCTTGTGCAATGTAAAGGCGCATTTCCACTCTCCCACCTTGGTCTCTTGTTTATTGACTGAAGTGAGTCCCACTGAGCAGAACCTGGGGTTTCCACCAGGCAACATTTCAATATTCAATATGCCGTGATTTCATCCATTCCCCTGTTAATGGGCATTTGGGTTGTTTCCATGTTTCTGCTATTGTGAACATCGCTGTACCTGTGTCCAGGGGTGCAGGGGCAAGTGTCCCTCCCAGTGCTTGGAGAATCTCCCTCTGTTCTACAGATAATCTGTTATTCACCCCTCACCTTCTCCCACCCATGCAAAATCCACCAACCTTCTCCAGTGACTCACCTGACTGACAACACCACAGAGTCTGTCTCCTGGGCCAGAAAACAGCACAAACTGTGGTAACAATCTGCAAGACAAAACCATTCATGGCAGCAGTGGCAGATGAGGAGCCTGTAGGGAAGTCCAATCCCTTTGGGGCACGGCACCCCCACCACAGCCCCCAGAAAGAGCCAGCCTACAGTTTTGGCACGATGCTGGTGTGTGGTGTGATGGTCTCCCTTTGTTCCTATTCTTGCCTCCTCTGTACTGACTGCCGGCCAGCTGTGCCTGGGCAAAGCCTAAGAGCTGGGACAAGTTGGACACCCGACATCTGCCGTTGATCTCCTGAATGCTGGACCTGGATGTGCCTTGGGGCTCACCTTCTGCAACTTGTTTTTTTCTTTTCAGTAGGGGAAACTGAGGACCAGAAAGTCTTGTTGACTGAACCCAACAGAGCCAAGACTAGGGAAGTAATCATTCCTCTCTGGAATATCAAAAATAATTATATATATATAGTTCCTGGTTGGTTCAAAGGTTTAATGTGCTCAGCTGCTAACCAAAAGGTTGGTGGTTTGAGTCTACCCAGAGGAGCCTTGAAAGAAGGGTCTGGTGATCTACTTCCAAAATCAGCCATTGAAAACCTTACAGAGCACAGTTCTACTTGGAAACACATGGGGTCGCCATGAGTCAGGAGTCAAGGTTCACTCAACAGCAATTGGTTTTGTGTGTGTGTGTGTGCCTGTGTGTGTGTGTGAGTGTGTGGACCCTTGGTGGCACAATGGTTAGGAACTCGGCTGCTAACTGGAAAGTTGGCAGCTCAAACCTACCTGGCCACTCCAGGGGAGAAAGAAACTGGTAACCTGCTCCAGAAAACATTACAGCCTAGAAAACCCTCTGGGGCAGTTCTACTCTGTCACATGGGGTCACTATGAGTCAAAATCGACTCCATACCACATGACAACATATATATATATATGCCACATATATATACATACACACACACACACACACACACACACATACACACATATAAACATTGACAGGCAGTTAATTTGACTCATGGCAACCCCATGTGTATCAAAGCAAAACTGCACTCCATAGGGTTTTCAAGGCTGTGACCTTTCCAAAGCAGACTGTCAGTCCTTTCTTCCGAGGCACCTCTGGGTGAGTTTGAACCTCCAACCTTTCAGTTAGTAGTTAAGCACTTAACCGTTTGTTTCACTCGGGGGCTCCTAGAGATAGAGATAGATAGATATACAGATATATAAAAGAGATATAGATATATACATTATATGTCAGCACACACACACACATATGCATACAAATGTTATTAAGAAATAAACAGCAGTTGCATGGAATGCTGCTATTAGCAGAGTGGTAAATATGAAGTTCTCAGAAGGCAGGTCTATTAACTGTCCTGGCACAGTTCCAGACACAGAATCTGTGCCAGATAAATACATCTCTAGCTCGGTAGTTCTCAACTTTGGCTATAGGGAGAAGCACTAGGGAGTTTTTACAAGTCCCGATGCCCAGGCTGGACCCCAACCAGGTACATCAGAATCTCTGGGGTGAGGGCATGAGCAGCAGGATTTTCTCCATCCTCCAGGCGAGTCCAAGGTTCAGGCAAGATTGTGAGCAACTGATCTAAGAAGCAGAGCTGGCAGTGGACCCCTGCTTCACTAACACTGTTTGAGGGAGGTGACAATAAGCCAGAAAAGGAGGTGGGCCACTTGAAGGGTTTGGGTTTAGGTTGGGTTGGAGGGGCAGCTCCTGAGTCTAAGGTTCTGCACCAGTAGGTCTCAGCCCTGACTGTCCATTAGAGACATCTGGGAGGTTTTTAAAAATACCGATGCCCGTGCCCCATGCCCTGGTGGCACAGTGGTTAAGCTTTTGGCTGCTAACTGAAAGGTCAGAGATTGGAACCCACCACCCCTCCGGGGGAGAAAGATGTGGCAGTCAGCTTCCATAAAGATTACAGTGCTGGGAACCCTACAGGGCAGTTCTACTCTGTCCTATAGGGTCAGTATGATTCGGAATCCACTTGAAGGCAGTGGGCTTAATGGGTTGGGCCCTACCCCCAGAGACCTAAAGATTTACAGCCTCAGAAACTCTTAACGGAGTTCTACTCTGTCCTACAGGGTCACTATGAGTTGGAATCAACTCAGCAGCAAAGGGTTTGGTTATGGGCCCTACCACGAAGCCTTGGTGGTGCAGTGGTTAAGCACTCCAATGCTAACTTGCATAGGGCCTGGGTGTATTATTTTAAAGCACAGTCAAGGTGAAGGTCATTGCTAGACATGATTGGGCCCCACATACTTTTTCCACTGCATCACCCCCTCTGTCACACTGACATTCTTTCTTCCTTCAAGCACAAGTCACTCCTGTTCAGGGCATTGCACTTGCTGCCCCTTCTGCTTAGATTTAACAGGGCTGGGACTAGGGTAAAGCAAGTGAAGCACTCTCCTTGGACACAAAATATAAGGGGGCAAAAATATTCAGTAATCAGGATAAATAATATTTTAAAACAATATTTTTAAAAATCAAAATGAATGCAAACACAAAAAAAGCCATGATTACCAAAATCTTAAAATTTTAAATAAAGACAGGATCCTACTTTGTACTTCCACATCATACCTTGCCCAGTTGGATCCTGCCTTTATATAAACTTTTATATTTTGTTCATTTTGTGTGTGTGTGTGTGTGTGTGTGTGTGTGTTTTGCATTAAGATATGATTTATCTTGATTACTGAGTTTTTGGCATCCTTTACATTTAGAGCCTCGCTTGCCTCACCCGAGTCCTCGCCCTGACTTAGAATGCTCTTCCCCAGCCTCTGTAGGGCTGCCTTCTCATCTGTTGGGGCTGAGCTCAGATTTTACCTTCTTGGAGAGGCCTTCTCTGATTGCAAGAACTGAAAAAGCACTCTATTCCATCATCCTGTGTTATCAGTATCTGAAATTACCCTACTTATTTGTTTTCTCATCCATTGTCTGGCTCCCTCATCTGGCTGTCAGATCCATGGTGGCAGGGGCTGGGTCTTCCTTGTTCCCACTGTGTCCCCAGGACCTGGCAGAGGGTCTGACACAAAGTAGGTGCTCAGTCAATATTTCCTGAATGACCCTGGTTTTACCTTTGAAAATGGCATTATCCCTCAACAGATGAAAGGTAACAGTTCCAGGCAGCTGATGGGGTGCCCACAAGTGCCTCCGAAAGGGGCAGTGATCTTGGACAAGGGTGAATCCCATAAACCAAAACAAAACCAAACCCATTGCTTGTCAAGTCGATTCTTTCTTATAGCGGCCCTACAGGGCAGAGTAGAACTGCCCTCATAGGGTTTCCAAGGCTGTAATCTTTACAAAAGCCAACTGCCACATCTTCTTCCCACCGATTGGCTGGTGAGTTCAAACCACCAATCTTTCAGTTAGCAGTGGAGCCTTTAACCAACATACCACCAAGGCTCCATGGGAGGGTCCATAACCAAACCCTTTGCTGTTGAGTTGATTCTGACTCATAGTGACCCTATAGGACAGAGTAGAACTCCCGTAAGATTTTCTGAGGCTGTAAATCTTTAAGAAAGCAGACTGCCACATCTTTCTCCCACAGAGCGGATGATGAGTGGGAGATATTCATGGTTAACTTTTGAAAGCACAAAAAAATCCGGTTGTAGAGTGACCATTGTTATATCTACCACCAGGTGGCAGTATACCTGACTCTCAGGGAAGTTACATAAAGAGAGAAGCCCACTGTTTATATCAGCAAATTTCCTGACATGTGTCCATCCACCCATCCATAAATCCATACAGCCATCTACCCATTCAGTCATTCATAAGCCCATTCTTTCATTCAATCATTTACCCATCTGCCCATCCATTTATTCATTCATCCATCTCTCCACCATCATCCATTCATCCATCCATTTATTCATTAAGTCCATTCTTTCATCCAATCATTTATCCATCCATCCATTCATTCATTAATCCACTCACCCATTCATTCATTTATAATCCCAGTCACGCATCCGATCATTTTCCCAGCCATTTATTCATGCATTCATTCATTCTCTCAAAAAGTAAAAACAACAGGTCAAGTAACAAACAATAAGGATACAGCAATGAAAATAGCAGAGGTCTTCCCTGCACTCTTGACATTTCCATTTTTAGTGAGAGAAGACACACAATAAACAAGGAAATGCACAAAGGAGCAAGACAAGTTCAGAATGACAAGTGCCATGAGGAAAATTAAAAAGGATAAAGTCAGCGATGGAGATACGGGATAGGGTGGGACGGCCAAGTGGGCAAGGAGAGTTCTTCAGGTAAGATGTTCAGGGAAGCCAGTCTGAGGAGGGATATTTGAGATAAGACTGAAAGAACAAGCAGAAGCCAGTCATACAAAGTCTGCGGGACAGCTTTTGAGGCCAAGGAAATAGCAAGTGCAGAAGACTCAGGGTGGGTATGAGTCTGGTGCATATGAGGCACAGACAAGACAGTCAGGGTGGCTGGGCAGAGTGAAAGGAGAAGAAGTGGCAGGCAATGAGGCCAGAGAGGTCAGCAAGGCCAGTTATTTCAGGTTCTCAGAGGCTGTGGGAAGAGTTTGGATTTTATCTAAGGGCATTGGAAAGCCACAGGAGGAGTACAGCACAGGAACTTCAAGTTCTGACTTGCATTTTTTTTAAGACCCTCTCTGGCTGTTGAGTGTGGAATAGACTGTGAGGGGCAAGAGGTAAGACAGGGAGACCAGTTGCGGTGTTGGGGGCTGGAGTCTACAGTGAGAAGATGGTGGCTTGGATCTCAGTGGCACAGCTGAGCTGGAGAGAAATGCATGGATTGGGGCTATATTGTGAGAGTAGAACATTCAGGACCAGCTGACAGTTGTGAGTGAACAGGGAGAAGACAAAAATCAACACCCAGTGTCACGAAAGCCCCACCATGGCACCATCACTGCCTTCATTTTGACCAAGACTACCATATTATAAGAATGAAAAAAAAAAGGGTTTTCCCATGTAGATTTGAACACCATTGCCGACTTCCACTCAAAACTTTTGATCTGGACTCCCTACAAAATCTCCAACTACTGATTCCTTTGAGTTACTCCAAGAAGGTTCTCCTGGGAAAGGGTGGACAAGGTTGTGGGTGTAGATGAGGTTCTTCCTTTACATAGCCATATGGACGTGCCTTATCCAGGCTCCCTAATGCCCCGCCCCCTACATAGTAGAAGATGATGCCCTGCCAGAGGCTGGAGGACACTGCCTTGGGCTGGAACAATCTCATAGGTATTATCCCAAAATGCAGGTTGGTTACCACAAGCTTAGGATCCTTCTTTACTATTATGCAGTCTTCCAAAAAATGGAAAAATTTGGGAGAGCAAATTCTCAACTTCTCAAGTATATTGCCCTGTTAGAGGTAACAGAAAGAAAGAGGAACATTAGGAGGGTAGGACCAGCGGGTGGGGGGTAAATGTTTCCTTGCCACTTAGAATTGCTAGACCATGGGCAGTGCACACAGTTAACACACTCGGCTGCTAACCAGAAAATTGGAGGTTTGAGTCTACCCAGAGTCACCTCAGAGGAAAGGCTTGGCAATCTACTTCTGAAAAACCAGCCATTAAAAACCCTATAGAGCACGGTTCTACTCTGACACATATGGGGTCACCATGAGTAGGAGCTGACTTGATGGTAACTGCGTTTCATAATTGCTATGACGAGGATGCTCTTGCAGCTTCTCGTCTGCCTCCTGCATGTACAGAAGGCTCATCAGGAGGCCATGAGCTCTGGGCTGTGTCCAGATGGAGGGTTGGGTTTTCAGACTTTTCTTCCCAAAAGCTATTGGTTGAATAATGGTGTGAATTTGCCACAGAGCTAGCCAAAGTTTGGGCTGAGTGGGAAGAAGTCATTGAATTGAACAAAGCCAATTGTTCAAAGCAACTGGCCATCAACGTCACTCTCCTTGGCTCTGGACTGCGCTCTACCTAGCCTGAGATGGCAACAACCGTTCGTTCATCACCTGTGTCAACACTCTTCATTGCATACAGCAGCTCTGGGTTATGACAGATTCTTAAGTTGTGTCTGTGTTCAACAGAGACGTATTGCATTGGGCAAATCTGCTGCAAAATACTTCTTTGAAGTTTTAAAATGCAAAGATGTCACTTTGATGACTAAGGTGCACCTGACCCAAGGCCTGGTATTTTCAGTGGCCTCATATGCTTGTGAAAGGTGGACAATGAAAAAGGAAGACAGAAGAAGAATTGATGCATTTCAAACTGTGGTGGTGGCAAAGAATATTGAATATACCATGGACTGCCAAAAGACTGAATAAATCAGTCTTAGAAGAAATACAGGCAGAACGCTCCTTAGAAGCAAGGATGATGAGACTTTGACTTGCTTACTTTGGACACATTATCAAGAAAGGCCAATCACTTCAAAAAGACATCCTGTTTGTTAGATGGTCAGCGAAAACAAGGGAAACCCTGAATGAAATGAATTGGCACAATGGCCACAACAATGAACTCAAACATATCAATAATCACGACGATGGTGCAGGACCAGGCAATGTTTTGTTCTGTTATACGTAAGGGGGCCATGAGTCACAGCCCAATCTACACAACTAACAACATGTACAACAGAAAAGCATCCTGTGATCAGTTAGGGAAGTCTGCAGTGGGCTCTGGTTGGCACAAACAGTTGAACACTAGGCTACTAACTGAAATATTGGCAGTTTGAATCCACCCAGAAGTGCCTCAGAAGAAAGAGCATGGCCATTGAAAACCCTATGAAGCACAGTCCTATTCTGAAACACCTGCAGTAACCATGAGTCAGACTCCATGGCAACTGGTTTGTTTGTTTGTTTGCCTTGGGCTCAGGAGGAGGGAATAATGGCACAAGAGCTATATACTTGCCAAATGTGAAACTAATTCCATTGTTTTCAAACTTATATGGTCACTTTAATTATAAACAAATGAATACCCGAATATTTCATGATATATAATTACAGGTCATCATATTTCATGTATTAAGTACATTTCAACCATTTTGGATCATCTCTGTTCCATACACACTGAGTGTCTACCTTTGACATGAGGAAAAGAGTATAAGGATGAAATAACGAAAATAATAACAGCTGACACTTACTAGACACCTACAACATGTCGGTACTAGTCTAAGTGGTTTGGATTATTAACTTGCTTCTCAGCGACCTTGTAAGGCAAGCTCGATTATTATCTCCATTTTGTTGTTGTTAGTTGCCGTCAAGTCATCTCCAACTCATAGTGACCTTGTGTATAACAAAATAAAACATTGCCCAACCTTGCAACATCCTCACAATTGTTGCTATCTTTCAACCCAATGTTGCAGCCACTGTGTCAATCCATCTCATCGAGGGTCTCCCTCTTTTTCACTGAGCCTCTACTTTACCAAGTATAATGTCCTTCTCTACTGATTAGTGAGCAAAGTAATGGATAACACATCCAAGTAAGGAAGACAAAATCTCTCCATCCTTGATTCTAAGGAGCATTCTGGCTGCACTTCCTCCAAGACTCATTTGTTCATTCTTCTGGCAGTCCATGGTATATTCAGTATTCTTTGCCAATATCATAATTCAAATGTGTCAATTCTTCTTTAGTCTTTTTTCACTGTCCAGCTTTCACATGCATATGAGGCAATTGTAAATACCATGGCTTGGGATCTCCATTTTACAGATGTGAAAACTGAGGCATACCAAGGTAAAGTGACTTGTCCGAAGTTGTTCAACTACTAAGATGCAAACCTTGTACTCTCAACTGGAAAACTAGAAAGAGTTTGGGTTTTGGAGTCAACAAATCTGAGCTTAAGTCCTAGCCCTACCACCAATTAACAGGAAGAGCTTGGGCATTACCTTCTCTGAGCAACAATTTCCTCCATTTATAAAATGAGGAGAATGGTATCCACACTCTGAGGATGAGATGTGACTACTCACATGAGTGTCTCATGGGTAGGTGCAAGCCCTGCCCTTTCTCTTGCTTGGTCTTGTCCCAAGTCTTATGGGGATGTCCCAATGTTTTTCCTCCATGGAGCAATCCCCTAAGGCTTAGATTTCTCAATAGAGAACTCAAAACAAGACCATTATTTCCTTGTTTGAGTTGGAGGAGAGTGAGGAGATCTGCAAGGTGGGGATGAGCTGCTTTTCCACCACTTGACTTACAGCACAGCACACCAAGCCTCTGGGCTGAGCCTACTTGGACCTTCAGCAGCTCAGCTATGAGCACTCTGATGTCAGGGCTCTTCCAATCTGCTCAGGTTGCCTCCTCAATGGTGGTTACCCCACACAATCTAGACTCATTTATAGCTCACACTGTTCCATGGGAACTTTGCTTACCTATCCACCAGCTGGGTGGACACCAACCTAACTTTCATAATCAAGCTCCAGGGTCATCTTCAATTGAAGTCATACCTGACCTTTCCTACACACCCAACCGGGATGGCTGCTGCGCCACTAAGGCCCTTCAGAGTCCCTAGATGACTTGATTATAAGGATATGATCATCCATGTGTCTCCCTGCCATCAAACCAAATGCTTCTCATGAGCAAAGTTTGCATCTCATTCATCTCTTCGTCTCCAGCATCTAGAATAGTGTTTATTTAAGAGATTTTGAACAAATCAGTGTGAGGCTAAAAGTCTCTAACCATCATATTCTGAAAGGTCACTAGATATAGTCATGAAGTTTGATTTATTTTTTTGTTTTGTCTTCTTGTTTTTGTTTTTCCAACAGTGAGTCCACATTTTCCAGAGCTGATAATTTAGGACAGAGGCAAAGAGGAGAAAGATGAATTATTACTATTACAGGAGGTGGGGCCAAGATGGCGGAGTAGTCAGACGGCTTCCTATATCCTTTTTACTTGGAAAAACAAGTGATTCGATTGTATATGAATATCTAGGAGCCCTGAACAAGGCAAAGTTGAGGAATTGGACTGAGTGGCAGGGGAAAGAGAGAGACATTTGGAAAAAGCGAGGAGTTGCCAGACCTGACTCAGCGGGAGCCGCAGCTCTTCAGCCCGGACAGGCTCGGGGTGTGCAGTGAGGCGGGCACACAGCTCCGCATGCTGGCTCGGGAGGCAGTTTCCACGTCGAGAGAGATCCGGCAGCAGAGATTCTGCTTGGACACTCCGAACCAGTGAAAAGCAGCACCCAAGTGGCTAAAAATAAGTACATGCGTGTGGACTTTTGCAGGGATTTAAAAGAAAAAAAAAACCCATTTGGGAAAAACCTCTCTCCCATTTACCTCCTCCCTCCCCACTTTGTACTGGTCTGGCTGGCTTCAGAGATCTCTGAGTCCCCTGGGCCGGAAATAGATCCCATAAGGCACCCTGACCCATTCTCCTGGCCTTGGAGAGGGAACAAATTAACAAACAGGGAAAAAATAAGCTACTGGCTCCCCTACGCCAGGAACTCAGGGTTGGCACAGCAACTTTGCCTAGGCAGAGGCATAAGGGGTCCACAGACTTTGAGTGCCTTCCACCCCTGTATAGACTTGTGTGGACCCATCTCAACAGTGTAAGCACTCACTACCACAGTACAACAGGGTAAACACCTGAAGTCTAACTTCAACTGTTTCAACTGTGAAGTGGAAGATTTGTGACGCCTGACACTGCTCTGCCCTTTAAGCAGGAGACTTACCGGTCAGCATCAGGGGCTTGAGGACTGGTGGCTCCACCCATGCCACCTAGCCACCTGCTACAGGGGTCCAAGAATAAGTGGTGCCCCCAAGTCTTTACAGCCAACAGAGTAGGGTGCTTATAGTCCAGCTGCAAAACTCACCTATCTACTCGCTCTAGGGAACAGGGACACACTCACTTTCCTTTCAGACACTCAGGGGCAGCCATCAGACCCCTGCCTTGCTCAGCACATGACCCCCTACTGCAGCCAGATACCTGTGCCTACATGAACCACCCATGCCTCTCTAAGACTGTAGGTGAGAACCTGCACCACACACTTGGTGACCAACTGCCTGGACACCTGAGCTGAATCCATACAGGAAAATTTAATGGACTCCTGGGTGCACATACTTAGTTACAGAACTAACTACCTGGTGACAGGACGTTAGAGTTTCAAAGATGCCAATAATCAAACTAGCGCACACGAGCAGCCTATTTGGCATATCAAAATAAAACAAGAAGCTAGGACACACTAAACAAATATAGAATTATTACTGTTATAAATGGGAGCATCAGAATTTTAGGAATGCCGAGGTTCAAAACTTTAAATAGATACTGAAACTCCTTTAAAAAATATTCTAGCAGTGTTTGCCCTTAAAATAGAATCAGGCAAACAACTCAATTTTTTTTTTAAATTGTACTTTAGATGAAGGTTTACAGAACAAATAGTTTCTTATTAAACAGTACATATATTGTCTTATGACAATGGTTATAACATGTCAACACTCTCCCTTCTCGACTTGGGTTCCCTATTACCAGCTTTCCTGTCTCCTCCTGCCTTCTAGTCCTTGTTCCTGGGCTGTTTTTCCCTATTAGTCTCATTTTGTTTTATGCGGCTGTCTAACCTTTGCTTGAAGGCTGAACTTCGGGAGTGACTTCATTACTGAGCTAAAAGGGTGTCCAGGGGCTATACTCTTGGGGTTTCTCCAGTCTCTGTCAGGCCAGTAAGTCTGGTCTTTTTTTGTGAATTAGAATTTTGTTCTACATTTTTCTCCAGCTCTGTCCAGGACCCTCTATTGTGATTCCTGTCAGAACAGTCAGTGGTGGTAGCTGGGCACCATCTAGTTGTACTGGACTCAGTCTGGTGGAAGCCGTGGCAGTTATGGTCCATTAGTCCTTTGGACTAATCTTTTCCTTGTATCTTGTTTTCTTCATTCTCCCTTGCTTCCGAAGGGGTGAGACCAGTGGAGTATCTTAGATGGCTGCTCACAGGCTTTTAAGACCCCAGATGCTACTCACCAAAGTAAGATATAGAATATTTTTCTTTACAAACTATGTTATGTCAATTGAGCTAGATGTTCCCCAAGACCATGGTCCCCACAGCCCTCCACCCAGCAATTCGGTCCCTCAGGGAATTTGGATGTGTCTGTGGAGCTTCCATGACCTTTCCTTGTACAAGTTTTGCTGGCTTCCCCAGTATTGAAACAACGCAATTGTTAAAAATGAGTGAAAGACTTGAGAAAACATTTCTCAAAAAAAGATAAACAAATGGTCCACAAACACATGAAAAGTTGTTCAACATCATTAGTCATTAGGGAAAAGCAAATCAAAGTCATAATGAGGTACTATTTCAAACCAACTAGGATGGCATTTTCAAAAACAAAGCAAACCAGAAAATACCAAGTATTGGCAAGGATATGGAGAAATTAGAACACTCAAACATTGCTGTTAGGAATGTAAAATGGTTCAGCCACTGTGAGTTAACATAGAATGTACATATGACCCAGCAATTCCACTCTAGGTATATACCAAAAAGAGTTGAAAACAGGTTCTCACACAAGTATATGTACACACATGTTCACAGCGGCACTATTCACCATAGTCATAAGGTAGAAACAGCCAAGATGTCCATCAAAAGATGAATAAATTAATATACATACTATTCATACAATTCAGACTTTTTTGTAAATGAAGTATTGATATATGCTACAGTGTGGATGAACCTTTAAAACACTATACTAGGTGAAAAAAGCCAAATACAAAAGGTCACATATTGTGTGATTTACATGTCATATCCAGAATAGGTAAATCCATAGAGACAGAAAGCGCATAGGTGGTACGAAAAGCAGAGGGAAGGCGAGAATGGGTAGCAACTGCTTAACCTCTAGGTAGTTTCCTTTTGTCCTGATGACAGTGTTTGGGGATGAGATAAAAGTGGTGGTTGCACAACACTCTGAACGCACAAAGTGCCACCAAATTGTTCATTTTAAAATGGCTAATCTCCTGTTATGTGAACTTACCTTCATAAAATAATGTAAAATCAATAGTATTTGATATATTATTCTTTGTATCTTAATAAGACTGAAATCATCGATAGAAATTTCAAGTCTGTAATAATATCAGGAACTACTACATCTTCGAGGAGTTCTGGTGGCACAGTGGTTAAGCGCTCAGCTGCCAACCAAAAGGTCAGTGGTTCAAACCCACCAGCTGCTCTGGAGGAGAAAGATGTGGCAGCTTGGCTCCGTAAAGATTTACAGCCCTGGAAACCCTATGTGGCCGTTCTACACTGTCCTACAGGGTCACTATGAGTCAGAATCGACTTGACGGCACCCAACAATAACATCATTATATCGTCTCCTGCAAAGATTTGATAAACATACAAGGGGTCACCATGAGTCTGAAGTGACTCGACAGCAACTGGTTTTTCTAAGGTACAGAGAGAGAGGGAGAGAGCCCCCAGCACAGGACAGGGCCTGGGCGCAAACTCACCAAGGTGATCACATACAGAAACACACAGTGCAGAAATCTTAGCTTGGCTCGATGCTGCAGGGTAGCAGGGATATCCGCAGTGAGGAAGTGCTCAAAGACAACCCATACAACAACCCCCAGGAGAAAGGTGGGCAGCACCACAAGTGGCACCAGCCATAGGACACCCATGCTCTGAGGCCGCCAGACACTGGAGAACCAGCTCAGGAACTTGTGCAAAGAGGACCTAGCCTGCATATATGGGTTACCTCCTCCCATATAACCTTTTTTCCAGCTGTCCCTGATACAGTGGCCTGGCTTGGTTTCTTGGAGGTGCCATAAACACAACTGGGCCCCTGGGAGCTAGAAGGTCCTGCTTCCCCCAGGAATGCAGGGACCAGGGAAACTCACCCTGTTGGTTGGGGGAAAGCTTGGGATGTGCGCCGCCCAAAGGCTCACCAGGGGCAGAGGTCAAGCTCAAGTGGCATCAGAAAGAGGCCTCACATGGGTTACACAGGACTCTGTGGCCTGATCTTTCAGCTGTAAACTAGGAGACAGAGTCAGCCTCCCTCATCAGAGTCTGATTGTTGTTAGCTGCCATTGAGTTGGCCCCCAACTCATGGCGACTCCAGGCACAATGGAATGAAATGCCGCCCAGTCCTGCACCATCCCAATGACCAGTTGTGGATCGCACCCTTGTGATCCATAGTTTTTTCACTGGTTGATTTTTGGAAGTAGATTGCCAGGCCTTTCTTACTAGACCGTCTTAATCTGGAAGCTCTGTCGAAACCTGTTCAGCATCATAGCAACACACAAGCCTCCACTGAGGGACAAGTGGTGGCCCAAGCATAATACAAGTGCTTGTTAAATTAAAATATGTGAAATTCTCAGACTTGCAGCCTATTTTCTAAAATGGTTCTGGTAATTCCTTTCCTTCCGTTTGGAAGATAGTAACAAAAATTGACCCCAAACTAGCACTCTCATGGTCAGAAAAATACATGGCTGAACAAAGCTTAATTCTGCCTGGGAAGCTGTGCCTTCTGATCCTAGGACCACAGGGGATTATTATTGGAAGGCAGCCTGCACACCATCTCCATGGGGGCTTTTGAGCTACTTGGCCAAGCTCTGGGCTAGAAGCCTAGCGGCTGCAGACACAAATAATAACTGACAAGATCTCAGCAGATGGACTTTTTCATGAGCTACATAAAAAGACAGGAAAGAAAAATCCAAAATGGATGACAGAAGAGACTCTGAAACTTGCTCTTGAACGTAGAGTAGCTAAAGCAAACGGAAGAAATGATCATATAAAAGAGCTGAACAAAAAATTTCAAAGGGCAACTTGAGAAAACAAAATAAAGTATTACAATGAAATGTACAAAAACCTGGAGTTAGGAAACTAAAAGGGAAAAACATGCTTGACATTTCTCAAGCTGAAAGAACTGAAGAAAAAATTCAAGCCTTTAGCTGCAATATTGATGGATTCTATAGGCAAAATATTGAACAACACAGGAAGCATCAAAAGAATATAGAAGGAATACAGAGAGTCACTGTACCGAAAAGAATTGGTCGATGTTCATTCATTTCAGGAGGTAGCATATGGTCAAGAACCAAGGGTACTGAAGGAAGAAGTCCAAGATGCATGGAAGGCACTGGTGAAAATCAGGGCCCCAGGAATTGGCAGAATACCAATTGAGATGTTTCAATAAATGGATGCAGCTCTGAAAGCGCTCACTCATCTATGTCAAGAAATTTGGAAGACAGCTACCTGGCCAATGACTGGAAGAGATTCATATTTTGCCCATTCGAAAGAAAGGTGATCCAACAGAATGTGGAAATTATCAAACAATATCACACGCAAGTAAAATTTTGCTGAAGATAATTCAAAAATGGTTGCAGCAAAACCTTCATTTAAGGTACAAAAAAAAAAAAAAAAGAATTATCTATGTGAGATCAAATTGACAACAGCAACTCAAAAGATTTGATGGGAAGCCTAGGGGACAGTGAGTTGAAGCTAATGGTGATGGAATAATTTGGAAAAGGATAGTGAGAATAGCAGCACAACTGGAAGAATGTAATCAATGTCCCTGAATTGTACACGTACAAACTTCTGAAATGGTGTAACTTTGGCTATGTATATTTTCACACACACACAAAAAAAAAGGTCCTCCAAGGTCGAGAAGGGAGAGTGTTGACATGTCATAAAACAATATGTGTACTGACTGCTTAATGAGAAACTATTTGTTCCGTAAACCTTCATCTAAACTACAATTTAAAAAAAAAAAAATGGCTGCAGAAGTACATCAACAAGGAATTGCCAGAAATTCAAGCCAGATTCAGAAGAGGACATGGAACAAGGAATATCATTGCTGATGTCAGATGGAGCATGGCTGAAAACAGTACATACCAGAAAGATGTTTACCTGTGGTTTTATTGACTATGCAAAGGCATTTGACTTTGTGGACCATAACAAATTATGGATAACATTGCAAAGAATGGGAATTCCAGAACACTTAATTGTGCCCATGCAGAACCTGTACTTAGATGGAGAGGTAGTCATTAGAACAGAAAAAGGGACGACTGCATAGTTTAAAATTAGGAAAGGTGTGCATCAAGATTGTACGTTTCCACCATACTTATTCAATATGCATGCTGAGCAGATAATTCAAGAAGTTGGACTATGTGAAGAAGAAAGTGACATCAGGGTTGGAGGAAGACTCATCAACAACCTGCTTTATGCAGGTGATGCTTGCTGAATTTGCTTGAAGCACTTACTGATGAAGATCAAAGACCACAGCCTTCAGTGTGGATTACACTTCAACATAAAGAAAATAAAAATCCTCACAACTGGACCAATAAGCAACATCATGAGAAATGGAAAAAAGAGTGAAGTTGTCAAGGATTTCATTTTACTTGGATCCACAATCAACATCCATGGAAGCAGCAGTCAAGAAATCAAATGACGTATTGCATTGGGCAAATCAGCCGCAAAAGACCTCTTTATAAAAAGCAAAGATGTCACTTTGAGGACTAAGGTGCGCCTGGCACAAGCCATGGTATTTTCAGTCATGTCATATGCATGCGAAAGCTGGACAATGAATAACGAAGACAGAAGAAGAATTGATGCCTTTGATTTATGGTTTGGTGAAGAATATTGAATATACCATGGACTGCCAGAAGAACGAACAAATCTGTCTTGGAAAAAGTGCAGCCAGAATGCTCCCTAGAAGCAAAGACTTCATCATGTATTTTGAACATGTTATAAGGAGGGACCAGTTCCTGGAGAAGAACATCATGCTTGGAAAAGACGGTCAGTGAAAAGAGGAAGACCTCAACAAGATGGACTGCACAGTGGCTGCAATGATGGGCTCAATCATAGCAACAATTGTGAGGATAGCACAGGACTGGGCAATGTTTCATTCTGTTGTACTGGTCGATGTTAGTTGGAACAGAATGGACAGCACCTAACAACAATGACACTTGGGAATGGGTTGTATTTGTTATGTTAATGAGACAGGATTAGTGTAAGGTGTGGGCTGAGTCAATCTCTTTTAAGATATAAAAAAAGATTGAACAAGTGAGCATAGGAGACATGAGGTAGGACAGATGCCAAAACACACTGAGATCTCCAAGGAACTAGGAAGCTGAAGAGACAAAGACCTTTCTCCAGAGCTGACAGAGAAAGAATGACTTTCCCTAGAGCTGGCACTCTGAAATCAGACATCTAGCTGCTTGAACTGTGAGAAAATAAATTTCTGTTTGTGAAATCCATCCACTTGTGGTAATTCTGTTATAGCAGTACTAGATAACTCAGACATCATGGAAAGGCAACTCCATTACCAGCTATTCTGTTGTGGCTGAAGCACAAGTTCCAAAATATTTTTTTTTCTTATCTGATATTTTATTATAAAAATTTTAAGCATACAGCAAATTGAAAGAATTTCAGTGGTAATTTCAAGAATTACCATGAACACCTGTATTTCCACCACCCAAATTCTACAAAGAACATTTTACTATGCTTGGTTTATTGCTTATTTATCCATCTATCCATACCTTTATCCATTCAATAATCTTTTTAATAAACCTCTGTGTAAGTTTCAGATATCTGCACATTTCCCTGTAAATATTTCAGCTGGTATATCATGAATTATAACATTTATTTACATTATCTTCCTTCTGGTAGTAAAATGCCATCATTTTGACAAATGCATACATCTGTGTAACTCAAACCCCTATGATATAGTACATTACCATCACCCCGAAAAGTTTTCTCATGTTCCTTCCGAATCAATCCTCTTTCACCCCACCCAGAGGCAACCACTGTTACGACGTTTTTTCCACCATAGATTAGTTTTGCCTATTCCAGAATTTTATGTTTAAGTAGAAGCATACTCTTTTGTGTAAGCCTTCTTCCACTCAGCACATTTTTTTTTTTTCCTCACAATTATGGGGTTTATTATAAGGAAAGTAACAGTTACAATTCAGGCTCAGGAACACTCAGGATACAGTTCTTTCATCAGGACAACCTCTT